GTGCATTTTCACTGTCTTTTGTCGTAAACGTGAATTCGTATGATGCTCACATATTATACAGAAACCATGACTACGAATGTAGAGGCAACGATTTGTGCGCGTGGCCCAATACCTTGAGAAAAAGGCGGTTCAAGATGTAATCCGAAAACGGTCCATCGTCGTAAGTAACAGTGTCGTCTTGTAGTCAAAGCAGTTTCTAGAACAAATACGAGCACTCTAATTTCTTTATAGATGATTTTTTACTGTAGCAGAGAAAGCTAGGAATAGGAAGTAATTGCAGAGGGTATAGTTTTTCGATTTGACAATTACTGACGACTGCTGAAACGGCACCCTAATTCCGATTCCTTTGGAGCCACGATTTGACGGGTTTTTCACGACGTATTTTGCCTGAGGAATCCGGGAAAAATAGTAAAAAAATTCCATCTCGATTTGTTCTCTCGATTTTGACAATTTCAATGATGAAATAATGGCATATTTCGCATTAACTGATCTCAATTCATCAAATACAAATTGAAAATTTTGATAAAATATTTTTTTCCAATAACAAAAATTTACCAGTTACTTATTTGAAATTTTAATGCCCCTGAACCCCATAAAAGTCAGATGAAAATCGATAAAAAACATGAAGAACTGAAAAGCGAAAAAATGAAATTTCCTGATATTTATTTCAGTAGTTAAGTGGTAAACTATAATAAGTCGATAAATCGTGATTTTACAGAAGAGCGAAATAATGGTATTTTACACAACAAGTGAGGCTTCGCCGCACTCGTGTGTAAAATCCGACTTACCTCACAAGTTGTGTAATGCATTTTATGTCATGCGTGCGTGTAAAGTGCAGGTTAACAGAGGCGTTTGGGGGTCGGTAAGTCGAATTTTACACGCACCACCAATCGTACTTCACTTAACAGACATTCCCATTTTTACACGCGTCCTATGCTATTTTACTGGTATTTTACACGTTCTCAATAACCCCTAGCGTCATCTTGCGGTACAAACATAACCCATTATCCCAACCATACACCGATCAGCTGATCCATTAGACACTATTTAACGAAACAAATCGCGGTGCAAAAAGCTAAAAAATAAACTACATAATAATAAATAATTAACTCAAAAAGTGAAATATGAATACACAAGAAGATATGTTTAGTGAACACGATGAAATACTNTTGCGCGATTTTTCTCCACCCCCCCCCCCACCCTGAAGAAAATATGAGGAAAGTTTGTTGATTTTTCATTATTTTTTTATTAGTGTAAAGAATTGATAAACATAAATTATTATTATTATTATTATTATTATTATTATTATTATTATTATTATTATT